AGTGTTGACACAGGAACACACTAGGTTACAACATGACCCGATGATTGTAATGATCCGAGTACACCCCCTACTTAGACCACTACACTGGCATCGACAATAACTACTCGCTAGTATCAACAAACCTAACAGTGCATATAAAGCGAAGAAAAGGAGATTGTCATCATCCACTGTGGTCTTACCTGGCGAATGAATGATGGTGTAATGTAAACATTGTCATAATATATTCTTTTCAGCCAATTTCTTCTAAATAGAGCAGCCTGAAGCACCAACTGTGCCACAGTAAGCAGCGTCCAGCCCACCAGAAACCAGCTTAACATGCTTTTAAAGACTTCCAAGGTGTTAAATACAGAGTCCATCTTCTCCTCAATCAGGCTTGTGATTTGCGCTTTGTTAGAGAGACTGGTTGAGAGGTCAACATCAACCAACTCACCGCTCTCCATGCTAACATTATTTCTTCCGATGAGATTCAGCAGAGCCGCTTCGCCCTCCTCAATCTGCTCCGGTGTAACATTGGTTGACTTCCTTGCCTGAGACTGCAGCGCCTGGCCCTGATGCTCGCAAAAGTCATTCAACCCTTTCATGGCCACACAGGATTCCCCAGCAAACAGCCGAACGAGTTTGCATATGAACTTTGCTCCGGTCATGGTGGCTCTGCAGTTGAAGTACAGGGCATTGAAGAAGGCTAGACATTGGTTCTTCATTGCGATTTCATCACCACAGGCTGCGACCAGGGTCTTGATCCAGGAGTTCTTGGTCCTCATTACCTTATTTACTCGCAGTAGAGAGAATTTAATTTTACCCAGGAGATTTCGGATGCGCTGCAACTGTTCATTGCCCTGCTGGATGAACTCCCTCACCTGGCGACCGAACAGACACATGGGGGCTTCCGTGATCTTATCCAACAGCCGTAGGTTTGTGTTTACCTGGCCCAGAACACAACCAATGGCATTCCGGAAGTTGCCGGAGTTGTGCAGAAAGTTTAGCCCGGGTCCCATGGTGGTCAGAACAGTCGCATAGACCATCAATAGCCAACGTGCGCGAGCGGCCACAAGGTAGGGTAAGACAAGCATAAAAACGCAGCGTATGTCCTCCGAGAAGGAGATACCGAACACGGCAAACAGCATGGTATAACAGCTGGCCAGAGTCGCAATGTGCATAGCGTGTCCAAATGTCACAAGAAATAGAGCAAATGCCAAGAAGCCGATTATAATGCCGGATATAATGCCCAAACAGTTCTCTCGTATTAGAAATCCCACTGCCAAGCTCGTGGCCGGTGTACTCCACAGAAGAGGTTTTTCGTAAAATACTTTAACGTCAAAATTACAGCAGTGCCTAGTCAAACAGTGATAGAATGCTCGAAGGCCCCGCATGCAACAGGAGGGTTGTTCCATTTTGGTCAATTGCTCATACATTGCCAGCTCATTTTTGTACGTTGAGGTTGATCGACGCTTCTCGATATTACTGACCCGTGATTCGTCCTCCTTGAAGGCCTCCGGCACTTCCTCTGCGTTGGACTGGTTAGCATAGTCAATCTGATCTCTCAGACTGGGGTCCTCCTGTCCAGACTGGTTGTAGTCATTAACAGCCTCCTCAAAGTAGGCTTGTACCCTGCTCCACCAGGATGAGATATGCGACCGTCCGGTGTCTCCGCTGGATTCACTGCCTTCATCAGACATTCCTCCTTTAAGACAGGAGAATGCACACTATCCTCAAGTATGTAGCGGCCCCACGTGCGGCAGTGGACCTCTCTTTCCAAAAAAATCGATTTGCAGGTTTTTTGCAAACGCACTGGAATTTGCAAACCAATGTGACACACAAAAGAATAGTCCACCAGAATTATAAAAATGGGATTTGCTAAAAAATAAAATTAGAACACTCAGTTTTTGCGCCGAATACCTCCTTAACTTTTGCTGCCATCTAATCAACCAATGCAAAAGCGATGTCTCAGACTGTTCTTCTATTACCTGTGATTAAGGATTCCCGAGGGAATC